TGGTCAACTTCTGGCATATCTTGACCATTCTGGCAAATGTTGACCATAGAGTTGTGCTGGAAGACCTAGAGATTCCTAGAAAGTTGTTCCCTCTGGATAAAAAAAAAGTGTTTTTGTTATTTGTTGTTTTTCCACTTTCACTAGGGTCCTGTGTCTCTAACCTCAGTGAATGTGGAGGTCCACTGTACAGTGTTTCCTCCACATTCACTGGCATTAAGAGTAAAGAACCCCTGTGAATGTGGAAAAACCGCAAATAAAAAACATAATTCTTTTCATCTGAGAAAACACCTCTCTAGGAATCTCAAGGTCCTCCAGTGCAACTCTGTGGTCAAGATTGTCATGCCCTGTCTGGAAGAGGACTTGGAGGATGAGCCAGATCCACCTCTGGGTCCTGAGCCTCTAGTGGTGGAGCCCCAGCCCAACCCAGCCCCAGCTCTGCTTTGCCAGCTCCAGCAGAGCCTCCAGCAGAGCCTGTGCCTCCCAAGAGGCTCTGCAGTCAAGCCTCCTGGGAGCAGGACCTTCAGACATGGAGGGGGATCAAGGAACTGTGCCCACCTTCAGTCAGCATCGAGCAGAAAGGGAGGGCCTTCGGCGTTCAAGGAGGCTTTATGCAAAACGCTGAGGTAATCAGCCCCAGCGAGCTCCTGCAGGTTGGGGACCTAAGCAGGTGTGGAAGAGCTGCCTTGGTCCCAGAGATTATCTGAGCTTCCTGGTGAAAGCCTCTGTCTCTGACTCCCCTTATTCCTTGGCCTGAAAACTTGACTCTTGGACTGCTGACTTACTTTGGACTATTGGAACCCTTGACCTTTGGACTGCCTTGCCACTCTGCTTCTCTGGAATCCTAGACCTTTGGACAACTTGACCCTTCGCTGGCTGACCCCTTGGATTGGTAACTCAGACCTTGCTCTGATTTCCATTGCCTCTGCTATCAGCCCTCCTGGTGGCTTTCCAGAACAAACATCTGCCAGAAGTTGATCACAGAATCATGCTGGAGAACCTACAAATGCCTAGAGGTGTTTTCTCTAGAGTGTTCTGAGCTCCCCAGAACAACACTATGGTCAACTTCTGACAGAGTTGTGCTCGAGGACCTAGAGATTCCTAGAGGGAACATATTAATCAAAACCGCAAATAGTCAAAACTGCAAAAGTCAAATGTGGAGGGCTGACTGTATTTGCAAGGCCTTTTTTCTACAATGGAGCAGGGAGAAACCATAACATGATCCCTTCACACATTTCTGGCATGTCAGTATGCCTACAGCTTGGAGAGATGCATCTTGTGGCTCTCCAGATGTTGGACTGAGGAAGTAGACTAAAGTGTACAAAAGCTCATGCTGCCAATTTCTTTCTTTCAGTTATGTCTCAAAAGTGCTATAAGATCTCTCTGCATACTGATTCTACAGACAACACAGGTATATCATTGAATTCTCCCATTGGGAAAGCTAACATGGCTTTCAGTGAGGGTTGCTCAGAGACAGGCACAAGGAGAATGCGGGGAGTAAAGACCACACCTAAGGTGGGGTGACACCACTGCTCCCCAAACATCTGCCTGTTGGCATAAATGGGCTGCTTCCCTTTAAAATGCAGAAAAGATGGGGTGAGTGGGGTGAGGCTCAGTGGGAGATTTTTCTTTTAAAAACTCATATCTTGCCAAATTTTCACTTTAGCCACACAAAACTATGTACATGTAAATACACTTAGGCTGTATATATGATATTATGAGAGCCAGTACAGTTTGAGTGTTGGACTATGACTCTGGAGACCTGGGTTCGAATCCCTGCTCAGCCATGGAAACCCACTGGGTGGCCTTGGGCAAGTCATTTTCTCTCATCCTGAGAGGATGGCAATGGCAGCAACTTGCCAAGAAAACTTGTGATAGGTTCAGCTTACAGTCTCCATAAGTCGGA